TGGAATTGGAGAAGTATGTGCTAATTTTTGATCTAGGGTTTGGCTTCCATCCCTTCTCCAGTGAGGAACAAGAAGGAGGAAAAAGAGGAACTAGCACTCTTTTGCCTGCCTTGATGACCATGAACTGTGTGGCTTAGTCGAGGGAGTTCAAGTAAAGACGACAAATATGCAAAAAAATGCGCAGAAAACATCGAAATGTAAGGAAACAAGGAAAAATTCTGGAAAAAAACATTTTGTTCTACGCGCCCTACTTTCAAAGAAACACTTGGAAAACTGTATATCACTGAAAAGCTTATAAAGTATCGAAGAAAGTTTTAAAAGTTTGTTTTTTTCCCAGCAAATTTAATTTCAATGTTTTCTCTAAAAAAAGAGTAAATAAAATGGAAGTTTGAAATTTGACCAGATCTTGTTGACAATAACCTCAAATCAAAACTCACAATTCAAGGCAGTAACAAAACAGTTTTTTTGTTATTGCCTTCGCTACATTACAAAACTGAAGAAACCGTTTGTTCGTTGCGGCTGAACGAAAACAAAAATCATGCTGCCTAGGTCTCGAAGGCAGGGTAATTAATTTATTTTCAAAAATGACATTTAGTTGCCCTTTTGCTGTGCCCTGAGCAAACGCTGGTCCCTCGTAAAAATGCCGAGTTAATCAAGTCGATTTTGAAATTAACGCAGGGGTCATATCATCGAAAGAACTCGGTGACACTGATTGCAAAATGAGAAACTTTCAAAGTGTGGCTGCATTTTTCAAGATAAACAAACAGTGACGTGGCTTGATTAAATTTCCTGAACTTAAGAGTCATTAGATATATTGACAACTGACATACTTAGACGTTAAGTCAAGTACATATGTATTCAAATTGGGGAAACTTTGTGTAAATATTGGTTGAAAGCGAAGGTAATTGATTAATTACCAAAATTACCGACCAATTGCCTAAATTTAGATAGATTTTGCTTTTTGGAAGTTTCTCAGATATCACTGGCTAATTTTCAACTGGTTAAGATGTCACTTTTTTACCTATGTATTTTCTACCCTTCTTTAACTTCATTCGTTTGCAGTTTATCACTTCTCTTTATCGGAATAGTGGTTAAGATATCCGTGCTTATCTGTTCAAGTTACCAAATTTTCCAGCTTTTGCATGATTCAATTCTGATCTTTTCAGATTCACTGTAAAAAGGAAATAAACAACTGGTTTCCTTGGTTTCCCATCCTGTTATCACTGAAAACTTTCCACTTGAATATTCTCTTCGCATATCTTTTTTTTCCTCTAGTTGCTGCTTCCTGTTCTCTGTTTTTGCACTTAGCTTATTAAATTATACTTTACAAATTCGGCGCAAAAATCAGGTTTGTTCAAGTCCCCGAGTCCCACGTCCCCGAGTTCCAGTCCTCACGTCTCAGTCTCGCTTTTAGTCACAGCCCTAAATCCCTCATATGCGGTGAAACATGGTTTACCTACCAAACATGTCTGAGGCATCAGAAGGCTGCGCGTTAGAGGACAAAGCGAGTTGTACTCGAGTTTCTGCCGAGAATAACATAAGAAGGAGATTTGTGGGAACGAAGTCTAATGCTGGAAAGACGACTGAAAAACTCGTAGGTACAATGTAGTTGATATCGGCTTGTAATTCACTATGCACGTGCACACGTTTACGTCGAAGGAACAGAATTGTAATCGTTCCCACTCTCAAACCCATTTTTAAGGCAATTTCTTCCTTTCTCTTCCTTTTTTTGTCGTATTCCTTTCCTTTAGGTGCACACGGTATAATTTTTACGTTCATGTTGTACTTTAATATGTATCCTAAGCCCAATAAATGGATGAAAACTGAGTTTTTTTTTTGCTTGTTTTGGTTTGTTTTGTTTTAATTTCCTTGTCTGTAACCTGGCACTGTTACTTATAATTTGATATACTAGTCGAAATCCCCAGCCCTGGACCCAGTATACATGCCTAAGTCTCTGATCCCTGGGGGATAATATGGTAAGATTTCCGCTCAGCTCCATTCTTCATTATGCATACATATCTTGGATAACTGAAGGAAAACGATGGCGAAAACAATAGATTACCTTTGTTTTACAATTGTATGGGACTGTACGGAAATCTTGCTGAAAATATTCCGATCAAACTTTCTGTTCCTTGAGCAAATATTGTCAAGGGATTTAAAAAAAAATAGTCACTGTTATTCAAGAAATAGGAGCAAATAAGAGAAGGGTTGTTCGTCAGATTCCAGATGAGATTGTCACCAATCTTGAGCTGCAAGATGCTGTGAGACAGGTAAATAATGAGAAACTTCACATGACCCTCGGTTCACTTGACCCTTTAACCCCATAGGTGACCAGGAAAGCATTTCTCCTTACAATATCAGTACAATATCAAGCAGACAAGTGATGAGAATGAAGAAAAATATCAATTAGGGGATTAATAGCTGATCCAATACCCAACTTCTCAGAACTGACATCAAAAGAATTGTTGGGAAGACAGTAAGGAGAATTACTAATGAGATCTTGGGAGTCAAAGGGTTTAAAAAGTAAGTTAATTACTTTCAAGCCCCTTTCAACTGATTTAGTTTTATAAAATCCAACTAGATTCATCATTGGGATTTTCAGTCAGCAGACTGAGTGTGGAAAGAAATTAAAATGTGACTTCTTTAAGTATAAATGTATTATAAGTTGCTCTACACAAACTTGAATCCTTTTCAGCATGTCATGATGTCACTGAGGCCTGTAGGATTGTTATTTAAGAATCAGATCTTATTTTTCAAGTTTATTTTAATTTTGCAGTCTGTGTACTAAATTAACCATCCTTGTCCAAACCTTTTTTTTTTTTGGCACCTTTTTTTTTACATGTATTTGAAATGTGAGGCATTTACAAAGAGTGTGTTCTAGATAACTGTTATTTGTCTGGAATGGTCATCATCAAAAACAGGTCACAACAGTTTAACCAACTAGCTACAATTCATTTTCTATATATCAGATTTTGCACCAATAGAGATCAGGGTAAATATTGCTTTCTAACCGAGATAATTAATCCTTTTACAACAGTTACCTCCTAACTACAATTTTGAAATCTTCAAGTCAGTGTGGAGGAGTTAAGAAATAAATGCTGAAAGAGGTAAATAAGCCCACATTAGTTGTTAAATTTTGTTTGTGTCTTGTTCTTATGCAACACACTTGACTCCACCTTATAATTCCTTTCTCCACCTGAGTGCAAAGAAAAAAAGATGAATTTCTCTGCCTGTCCCTGATTAACACAGCCTGACTTAACAAAGCAGCTGAAGAGATTCTTTAAGAATCGAAACCGCCGGTCCTGCTAGACGATATACTTCACTTTCAGTTTTACCTGAAAAAGATGTCAGCTTTTGAAACACCATTGCGGCCACCAAAAACGCCAGACTACCGTCCAAATCTGGACGAGGCGATGGAATTAACGTACACTGATCCGAACCTAGAATCGTACCCAGAGGATAGCCCTCCAGCATCACAACTCGAGCCAAGGCATAAAGCTGAATTAGCCAAACAACGCAACAACGAAGGTCTACGCCTTCAAAAAGAAAGCCGTCAAAAAGAAAACCTTCCGAGGAATAGCCGATCCACGCGGCAGCCAAGGAAGAGGAAACATGAAGACACCATCAGCGCTATCCAGTTCAAGAAGCAAAAAACTGAAACCTCCATTTTAAAACTGGAGAGACACTTACAACAAAAGACTTGCCCTAAGTCGCTTCAATACAAGGCGAAGGCAAACGTCACGCCTGACGAAACCTTTCGACAGGAAATAAGCGCTATTAAAAGTCACGCCGAAGAACAATACGTTAGCGCCCTAGTGCGCTTCCATCAGCGTAGACTTGTTAGTCACAAGAACAAACTTGAAAAGGCTAATATTGCCAAGTCTCGATCACAATACAATGTAAATACACGTGAAAGATCACGTTCGCCCTTGAGGAACACTGTAAATACTGATGTCGACAGGATAGACAAAATAGAAAATTAGCTTTCAGAGCTGAAAGACCTTATATGTACACGCTTTCAGAGTGATAATAAACATGTTGAAAAGTACAACAGCGTCATCTCTGAAAAATCAGTCGCCAAACCCACTGCAGCAAAAAGGCTATCCAAGAATAATAAACGCAAAAAGCGTAGAAAAAATACACTACACAAGCGAGTGACTACAGAAAGGGAGAAAAATGAAAAATACCTTAAAAACCTTTCAGACAATACATTAACTGATCACCAAGTCAGCGTGTTAGCAAAAGGGCTTAGATTTATTGAAACACCCGTGACAAATGAAAATAAGATCAGGCAACAATTGTTGCGTGACTTCGCACAATTCGCAAGGCGAATGAGACTTAGATATGTATTCCACGGGAATGACAAGGAACCACATCCTTTCCACGTCAAATCAAACTGGATACCACCAGTACAACCTTCTACTGCCCTTGAACGCTACTTCGAAAATATCAAGTTAAGCCTTGCTGAAATAGAAATAACAAAGCCAAAACACAACCTGTCATACAACGAACACAAAGCAGTCAAAGAACTGCAAAACAATACTGCCATCAACCTTAAACGTGCTGACAAAGGCACCACAACAGTGATTCTCAACAAGAGGGACAAAATTCAAGAGGCCCAGGTTCAGCTCGACAACAGAGACCACTACCGACCTCTTGAAAACCCCATGGTCACTGACACATTAAAAAAAGTTAATGAGGTTATTGCTCAACTGCACAATGGCAAACATATAGACGATATGACAAAAAAGTGACTTTCACAGACTCCCAATCCGCCCAGAATACCGATTTTCTACACTTAAACAAAAATCCACAAACCTTTGCCAGTGGGTAGACCGATTACATCGGGCTGCGAAGGACCAACTGAAAGGATATCATCCTTTGTGGATCATTTATTACAGCCTATTGCTCAAAAGCAAACATCGTATCTCAAAGATACGACTGATTTCATCAACTTTATAGAGAAAACGCAAGTGTCAAATGATACTATTTTAGTGTCAATGGATGTAATAAGCTTGTACACAAACATCCCACAAGAAGAGGGTATCACAATAGTATGCCAAGCATACGAAAAATACCACAATAACAGCCCTCCCATTCCGTCCCACTACTTAAAACAAATGCTCGGGCTTATACTGAAAGAAAATTCGTTCCAGTTCAACGGAGTAAACTATCTCCAATGTTTTGGAATTGCCATGGGAACACGAATGGCGGTTGCTTTCGCCAATCTCTTTATGGCAGAAATTGAAACAAAACTGCTTCACCAAAGCAGTATCAAGCCGAGAGTATGGAAGCGTTACATTGACGACGTTTTCTCCCTGTGGGATGTTCGTAAACAAGACATTGATCTATTCATAGAACAAGCTAACACGTTCCATCCAACTATAAAGTTCACGGCTGAAATCTCAGAGACTGAAATCACATTCTTAGACACGGTTGTCTACAAAGGTGAAAGATTCCAAAACGAAGCTATCCTCGACGTCAAAACTCACTACAAACCGACCGAGACCTTTCAATATACACACTATTCATCTTGCCACCCGCCAGGTGTTAAGAAAGGCTTTATTAAAGGAGAAGCTATCAGACTTCTAAGAACAAACTCCTCGGAAAGAAATTTCCAGGAGGCCATGTGTAACTTCAAAACACGACTTGAAGCACGTGGTTACCCAAAAAGCCTAATTGAAAAAACGTTATCTGAAGTCTCGTTTGCCGCAAGGCAGTCGACACTTAAAAAACAAACCAAAAAAACTAAAGGCAAAATATTGCCTTTTGTGACAGCATACCACCCAGGGGTTAAAAATTTAAAACAAATACTGATGCAAGAATGGAACCTCATCCAAAATCAGCCACTGCTGAAAACAATTTACAAAACGCCTCCGATTATATCATACAAAAGAGGTAAATCGCTCAAAGACATACTCGTCAGAGCGAAGCTTTAATTAAAGGCTTTTGCGTCGCAAACGTAAAACCACACAGGGGAGTCTGTGTAGGCCTGTCTATGACCTTTTCACTCCATTAGGATTTCGTTAAGTTTAGAAAGCATAATTCCAGACTTGCTGTTTAAGACAAACAGTTTTCTGCCGTATCTTTCCGCACTTATGTGGTCGGAGATATGACGATAAGAGTTGAAAAGAAGCGTATAGATGTCGATGTAAAACTGTCGCAGTACTGAATTAAATTGGTCTTTGCTATTTTGATCGGTGCTATTCAGCAAAATCAAACATTCCCGGCATATCTCGATGGCTTTCTGAATGCGATCTGAGTTGAGCAGGAACAGGGTAACAAGTAAGGCGATGCTCATGAAAGCTATCATGGTTTATGCTGTTAGGTTTCCATTACCATCCTCTCTTGTTATCAGGGAAACATTATTTTTAGTAACACAATACTAAACGAGTTGATAATCTAGATTCATAACGAGTCACTACAAACAGGAACACACATGTTAAGTTACAAAAACGGGCTGGGTCTCTTACACCTGGAAACTTTTTGTCACGAACTGTAAGTGTTGGAATTCACAATATCGACTTAAAACAAAAAATAAGTGAAGAAGAGGATAATTACATCAACGGATCACATTTGGTGAAACTTGTAAAATTAATTTGACCTGCACAGTTTTTTTTGAAACGGACTATGTGACTGTCACGCTGTGAAAGTCAACTGTTATTTAAGTGATTTTTGATCTAACTGTTTCGTTTGTTCATCTTATCTAGTAAAAAAAAAAAGCCCCATGCTTGGGTTTGATTAATGGTCGTGTGTCGTGGGGTCTTGTCATCAATTAGGGGGGTTTTTGAAAGGTCGTGGGTTTCTTAAAAACCCAAGAAGGATTGATAAACCTTTAACTATAACGTTCTAGAATATTTGAAAATGTTCCTCTAACAGTTTATCACTAAGTAATGAGCTCACTTATCTAAATTATATGGCTGAAAACGAATTTATTCGTAACTGATGAGGATGATTGCCAAGATTTGAGGTAACAATGATTTGATCAACTCGGTTTGTCACCTTTCATTTTACTTAAGTTGTGATTTTTGTACAACATGACCTTAAAGTCACAGGACAAAGATAAACAAATCATCATTAATCTTCACTTTTGCTATGAGAACTTTCCCCATGCATAGTTTCTATAAACAACATTAATCAACGGGTTAAGTTTATAGAGAAACTTTTGTGGGGTATTGCAAAATAATTTGGCTTTACCAGCTGAGTTGACTATGTAGATTGGCCATCGTAATGAGTTTCTGAAGCAGACGTTTCGAGCGTTACCCCTTCATTAGAGCATTTGATAATCTTGGGGAATCAATGATGTTGTATTGCCAGTATTCCGCAAAGAAACTTGCAAAGAATGGTCTGCAGTATCTTTATAATGCTTCGTTTTCCATCTGCATTTCTACCGGCCGTCAGAATGTATTCACAATAAAGCCTCAAGGGATCAAGCTACATGCATTTAAATTTTAAGCGTTTCAATTCTTAGGCTAACAAGAGAGAGAACCTTTTGCGCATTATGGCATGGAACATTTGAAAATATTGTTGTAGCAAGCTATTACCAGGTAACGAGCTTACTTATCAGATGAATGTTACTGAAAACTAATCTATCCTTAGTTGATGAGAATGATGAGCAATATGTGAGGCTACAGAGGTTTGACGAACTCCGGCTTTGTGACGAATTCATTTCATTCAGTGGCGATTTTTGCACAACATAACATGACTTAATACTCACAGGACAGGACAGGACAGGACAGGACCAAAAAAAAACATTCATGTATGCCTTTGCGATAAAAAAGTTACTCATCCCATATGTGACCGTAAAGTTAAAGCTCAGTAATGAGGCCAACCCATGCCATGATTTATAAGTGTTTTGTAGCACGAAAGAGATAAAAAACTTTCAAAACATCTTGACTAATGTTAGAACCACACAATACGATTCTGCATGTTTTTTATCTTTATAGAATATCGACAAATGTTTTGGTTAAAAATCTTAGCAGGTATCTTCTACACAAAGGTGTGTGTGATAACGTGACTGTAGTAAAAAGATTGTAATCCTCTTTTTCCCACTTTTATGCAGGTATATACCATGACTTAGTTAAATACTACTAGAAAAATCTCTTGATTTTTAACCAAAGTTGTTTGGGTTTATTGTATAGCCTAACAAAGCAATCGAACAAAATGAATGGTAGAGGTTCGCAGCCTACATCCATTTGAAAAGTAAGCGTTCTGATCAATAACACTACGACAAGATTATAGGAAATCAGTCAAGTAACACTATCTTTCTTCGTGAGCTTTAAGCGTCATAGGCTGACCTATCTTCTTACGCAAGACTTTGTAGACCATGTGTACCACTAGACTGACACAGCTTCCGCGTTGAAGTACATCGACTTTGTTAACTTGCAGCTCAGCGAATTGTAGAATTGTTCTTAGTTGTGAGTATGATATGCAAATGTTAACTCACTTACTCAATAAGTCACTCAGTGAAGACACTGTCGTAAATAAATTACTTTGATATAGTTTTTGGTTCATTCATCTCGTCGCGTGATGTAAAAGAAATAGTTTGCCCTTAGGTTGAATCGTATTCTCCCTGATTTCAGTTTTTCACCTTTTTGAGGGTGAACATTAAAAGTGAAAATTATTTTTGTACATCCTTTATGTTGGAGCAGTCTGAAAATTAGTGACCAGTCTTACAAACTTTAAAGCGAACTTGAAGATTATCTGCAAACGGGCTAAAAGAAATGACAATGGAATTAATTGCAGTTTTAAAACAGTTACGATTGAAATATTGAAAGCAATTAAAAGCTTACACAAGGTAGAAACAAATAAATATTAATTCACAAAAGCACGAAAAACCTTTCTTTTTTTATTTCCAACAGTTTTGGTTTTAAAATTCAGTTTTTTTCTGCCTTTTCCACATTTTCCTCAAGTGATAGACAGTTGTATCAGACTAAAATTATACTCATGTTTGATATTCCTTTGATATCGAGCTCAGAGGTCTTTTCAAAAAGTGTCATTATCATTAAGAATTTGTGGCAGGATTTTTTGATCGAACCAAACTTTTGGTCTCTCTAATCGCGTAAGAAAACTCCGTCAGAAAATTTCTCTCTCCAGTCTCTTGACTTAAGCCGGAAACAGAAAAGAAATGGGAAGGGGGCCCCTTCTTAATTGAAAAGGAAGTTCATTGATTTTTAGAAAATAAGCCTGACTCGCTGGTTTATTTTTGGTGCATTATTCGCTTTGATTAAGAAAAAAGAAGACAATAAAAAAATGCAAATTCAGCCCTGGAAAATCCATGAAAATCAAAAGGAACCAGAAAGGAATAATCTACAGTATGAGTTCTAATTTCACCATTCTTAATTTCTCGATATTTTGAACTGGCTGTCAAAACGTACTTGCAATGAACACCCTTAAGATCACATTACTTTATTTCTTTTTCATGAATAATACAAGAATAATTAAAGAGAAATTCCCTTTTGTTTTCAGTCTTGAGAAGTAATCGACACTTTGAGTATAATCTACCGTCCACAGTGTAGGCCAGGCCAAAGATGGACTTTATTTCTCTTTTTTTTACTGGAAGTTCCTTTGCTCGGTTTTATGGAAACATCGTTCTTTTAGTTCATTACCGTTTTGTTAAAGCGCAAAAGATTTTGATCACAGATTGAATACTGACTCGAAGTTAGGATTCAACGAGTTTCAAACGTTTAAAATTTTGTCCTAACATGAAAGATAAATCTTTCACTACAGTGTGCTTAGAACTTTCCTCACATTCCGCAAGATGGCAAAATTTACAAAGATTGTTCATTTTACAAACAACGAGCGCATTTATCAGACGAATGTCCCTGAAAACGAATATTTTCATAGCAGATGAGGATCATCGATAAGATGTGAGACCACAAAGTTTTCACGTGGTTGCTGTATACCCCTGTATTAAGAGAGTGTCTCTGTAAGAGCGGTCCGGTCGATTTTGCTTGAGACACGGATTTCGCTCATTTCTTGTGTGTTGTAAGACATTCGTGTACCTATACTAAAACCACAATCCGTTTGATCGGAACTCTTTATTTTTCAGAGTTTTGCGGAAATTAAATTTCACTCGACCGAAGGCTTGTCGTGACACTTTTCAAGACTTTAATTTGAGACAAGTTTGGAGGACAATTTACAAAAAACTACGGAACTAAAAAAAAACAAGTAACCCAGCCATGTATATTAACTCTATCTTATCTATCGAGGCGACTTTTGTGAACATCATGTTTCAATCAAGGTATAGACGACGCACACCAGCAATAGGTTTTCACTTCGATTTAATGTCTCACCATAGTTACGTAATTACCAATGTGGTTTCTAAATAGATGATTAAAATCAAATCACTCGGGGAAATCGAACATAAGGAAGCATAAACTAATAAGCAAACACAACTAGAATAAAGAACGTACCAGACGTGGCGGGATAAGGGCTGTAGAAGCGAAACTTGACTGCGAAACTTGACTGACAACGGACAACTGATAACTAACTCGAACAATGTGACTCGCAGACTGAATAATAAATTAGCATGCAGAGCGCGAAATAACTAGTGTTGACGAGGCGGCCTGGGTCGAGGGATGGTTTTTACACCGGCCCCGAATAAGGGCTACTACCCTAATTCTAATTAAAAAAAAACCAAACCTATACCTAAATACCTAAATTACGCAGTTCATAATAATTTCGTAGTCATGGAATTCATGACAGTTCATTCACAGAGTTCATAGTGTCATAAATTCTGGACTCCTTCGAGGAGACACAGCTTCCTGATGTCCCGTGCGTAGACTGATGTGGCCGTTCTCACTTTAACATGACGTACGTGGCCATGGCTGTCCGGGAAACAGGAAGACTTGAATGACACCGTATCGGTTCGCTTAAGTCACAAACCGATCAAATTCAAGGTAAATTTTTGAAAAAGTGAGGCGTTCTTAACTGATCC